CATGCCTGATCCCCTCCCTGCTGACCCTTCCACTGCTGAGAGTGAGGCCTTAGCTGCTGCTGCGCTTGCTCGTGCTGTCTGGGATTCTTGTGATGCTGTAGTGCAACCTGCCATTAGTCATCCGCTTCCCCTTTCTGAGCGCCCACGTTTCACTGCTGTCGCGAACGCCAAAGACTTCTTAGATGCAGTAGTTGCACACTACTCCACGCTTGCCTCCGCCTCAGCTAGACGCTTGATCCTCCCCATGCTCTTCCCCGATCTCTCTGTTTTCCCTACTGTCGCTGATCTCGCGACTCACCTCCGTGCACTACAGACTAGCTACCGCACTGCAAATACTACTGCCCAGCTCACTGCCTTCCCCCCGCCATTCTGCGCTACCTTGTACCTTATTGCGATGTGCCTGCCTGACCGCTTAGCCGCTGCCCGTGACCACTTCCTTAGCCAGCACCCTAGTGACCTCACCCTAACCGCTTTTGTCGCAGCCCTTTTTCATATAGAGACTCGCCAGCGTACTATCGCTCAGTCGAGCGGTGTTGCGGCAATCCCTATCTTTCAGGGCTATGCTCCCTCTCAGTGCACGTACGCTGACGTTACCGCCGCGGTCGCTACGGCTGCTCCTGCCACTAAGACCGCAGCAGCGACAGCGTCGGGGCCGTCGCGGCCCCAAGGGAGGGCGTGGTGGTGGCGACACTGGTTCTGACGAGGGGACTGGGGCAGGTGTCCAGGAACCGCAGCAGCAGCAGCAACCGTGGGCCCGCCTCTCGCCGGGGTGGCCGAGAGCCCCTGGAGGTGGTGGCCGCGATAGCGGTCCTCGCAGCTCGGCGTCTACCGGCGGCTTCGGTGCTATGGGCTGCCAGTACCAGCTCCACACCGGGCCCCTCCGTGGCACTGTGTGCCGCCGCCCGCACCCGACCACCCGCTGCTTCCGCCGCATCGACGACCTCTTCCGTCGCCGCTTCGGCCCGGCCCCGGACCTCCCTGACTGGCCCACTTTGTTGCGTCACGGTGTGCCTGTTTTTGACTCAGACATGGATCAGATTAGTTTTGCCTTGCATTCTCTGTCTGCTGACGCTTCTACTGTGTCCAGATCTTATTACCCTTTATACTCTAGCTTAGGCATAGCACCTGTGTGTAGTATAGACACCCCTGCTGCATCAGGCGTAGGACCGTTTGCTTTGTCTAGTCTAGGCTCTACACTCGCTCCTCCTTCGTATGCCGCTACTGCTTCGCTTTCCTCCTCACTTGACTCCGGTGCGACTCCCTGCTTCTTCCGCGACCACGCCATACTCACGCCGCTTGCAACGCCTGCCGTTGTCGCACTAGCTGACCCCTCTTCTGGTCATGTCATTGCTCGCAGCTACACTACCCTTCCCTGTCGAGCGGTCCCCTCGGGTTCCCTTACAGGCCTGCACATCCCTTTGTTCTCCAGGAACTTAGTTGGTGTTGGCTGTCTTCAGGACCTCGGCGTCACCACTACGTTTTCTGGTCACGAGCGGTACGCTGTCTGTGCCGATGCCGCCTCAGGTTCCCCCCTTGCGACGTTCCCTTAGGACCTGGTGTCTGGCATGTTTACACTGGACACTGCTTCCCCCTTGGTTGGCACGTCCTCCCCGGGTCCTGCATCTATCCAGGACGTTGGCGCTTGCTCGTGTCGGTCGCTCACTCACCTGTCGCTTCTGTGGCACCACTGTCTAGGTCAACCCGCACTCCCGCGTATGTGTCACATGTCTCAGCACGGTCTCGTCCTAGGTCTCCCTGTGTCGCTTCCTCCCCTCCCTCCCTTGCCTGCACCGCCGTGCACGCCCTGCGTCGAGGGCCAGCTGTGCCGAGCTCCTCCTACCCGCTTCGTCTCGCCACCGCACCCCTCCAGACCCTACACCTGGACGTCTGGGGCCCAGCTCCCGTCCCTGGACCGCGTTACGAGCGCTACTTTCTAGTGCTCGTTGACGACTACACCCGCTACACCACGGTGTTTCCCTTGGAGCAAAAGGCCGACGTGCCTGACGTTCTTATCCAATGGGTTGTAGCTGCGCGCCTCCACCGCGGTCTCCCTGTGCTGTGTTTCCACTCAACCGTGGCGACGAGTTCGCCTCTGGTCGATTTGGACAGTTCTGTCGTGTGGAGGGCATCCCCCAGTCGTACACCCTACCGGACTCCCCATAGCAGAATGGGGTCGCTGAGCGCCGCATCGGCTTGGTCATGGAGGTGGCTCGTGCCTCCATGATTCAGACCGGTGCACCCCATTTTCTGTGGCCATTCGCTGTTCGCTACGCCGCTCACTAGCTTAACATGTGGCCGCGCTCCCAGTGGCCGCAGGTTTTGTCGACCCGTCCTTGGACCGGGTTCCCTGGTGACGTGTCCGCATTCCACGTCTGGGGCTGCCTCGCTCACGTTCGTGCCTCTGGCCCGCACTGTCCCCTGTGTCTTCCTCGGTTTCCCCTTGGACTCGTCTGACTAGCTCTTTTACCACCCGCCGTCTCACCGCTTCTTTCACTCCCGTGACGCCACTTTCAATGAGTTTGTCTCCTTTTACCACCGGTTTCCCCACCGAGGTCCCCCAGTTTCCCCTCCCCTGTTTTTGGTCCCCACTCCCCCGGTAGCTCCTTCTCACCTTCCTCCCCGTCCTGCTCCGTCTGGTCTGTCTCACGTCACTCCCCTCCCGTCGGTTGTCCCAATCGAGGAGTAAGCTGACTCTGGTGGCCCTGCGGCGCAGTTATTGTCGCCTGTCTCTCCCCCGGTGTCTCCTCCTCCGCCGTCGCAGTCGCCGCCGCCGCCGCCGCAGCAGCAGCAGCCGTTCGTGGACTCTGGGAAAGCTGGCGTTGAGGAGGGTGCAAGTCCTGGGTTTCCTGTCGTGGCTTGTCCCGACAGGCTCGAGGGTGGCACCGGTGTTGGAGAGGGTTCTTGCTCTGGGGGTGCTCGCTCTGGGGGTGGTGGAGTGGAGTGTTCCGGAGGTAGTCGCGGTTCCGCTGGCGGTCTAGGTGTCGGCGTCGAGCAACAGCAACAGCAGCAGTCGCCGCCGGTGTCCGCCCTTCGCCTGTTCGGCCTTCCCTCCTCCGACCGCTCGAATGCGCCTCCCCCGCCACCTTAGGACCCTGGGCCTCTTAGTGGATAGCTGCTATGGAGCAGGAGATGGCATCTTGGAGATCCACCGTCATCTACGTCGACGCAGTTCCCCCACTTGGGGTGAACGTAGTCGATGGCCGGTGGCTCTTCAAGGTGAAGCGCCCCCCTGGAGAGCCGCCTGTCTTCAAGGCACATTACGTGGTTAGAGGCTTCAGTCAGCGTGAGGGGGTGGACTTCTTTCAGACCTTCGCTCCAACCCCGAAGATGACTACTCTTCGGGCGCTGCTACACATAGTAGCACATCGTGACTACGAGTTACACCAGGGCAGTCTACACGAGCAGGTCTACCTCCGCCGTCCGCAAGGCTTCACCGGTACCTTCCCTCCTATGACCCAGTGGCTCCTCCGGCGCCCGGTCTACGGCCTGCGATAGGCGCCCCGTGAGTGGCACGACACGCTGCGTGCTACGCTAGCTGACCTGCAGTTCTTTCCGTCCTCTGCATACCCTTCGCTCTTCGTTCGTGCTGGCCAGACTCCGTTCTACATCCTTGTCTACGTAGATGACCTGGTATTTGCTACTGCAGACAGAGACGCGCTAGCCTCCGTGAAGACCGAGCTGCTGAGGAGACACAGCTGCACTGACCTAGGAGAGCTGCGCTGCTACCTTGACCTGCAGATCTCTAGGGGCAGAGCAGCGCACACCATCACTCTTACGCAGTCACACTTGGTGCGCCAGGTCCTTCAGAGGTTCGGTCTTCAGTTCTCCTTCGCACAGCCCACACCTCTGCCACTAGACCACACGCTCTCGGCTCCAGTTCATGAGGAGTCAGTAGAGCCTAGTCGTCCTTATGCAGAGCTGGTGGGTTGCCTCATGTACCTGATGACTTGCACTCGTCCTGATCCCTGATGACTTCTCAGCATCTTGGCTCGATTTGTGGCCACTGGCAGACACTGACCACAGCACTGGTCGGCTGCTTAGAGGGTTTTGCATTATCTAGTGAGTACGTCGGGCATAGGGCTAGTGCTAGGAGGACGCAGGCCAGTGGTCCTTACTAGGCACACAAACGCTTCTTGGGCAGACGACGCTGAGACCTTCAGGTCCTCCCAGGGCTACTGCTTTAGCCTTGGTTCGGGTGCCATCTCGTGGAGGTCCACTCGCTCCTCGTTTGTTGCCCAGTCTAGCTGTGAGGTTGAGATCTACGTCGGTGCCATGGCAGCACATAGCTCCGCTGGCTGACGTTCTTGCTCACTGACTTAGGTGAGCGGCCTAACTCTGCCCCGGTCCTGTGCGCTGACAACAGGGCCATGATCCTCCTGTGTCAGGAGGGAAGCACATCCAGCTGCGGCACCTCCTTCTGCGTGAGCCACAGCAGCGCTGCCAGGCTCGCGTAGTACACTTGGCCTCCGTTGCCAACACAACTGATATCTTTACTAAGGCGCTTGCGCCTAAAGATCATCAGCGGCACTGCTTGCAGCTTGGTCTAGTTCCTGTAGACTCACTTGCTAGGACCTTGATTGTGTACTCCTCTTTATATATATTTTTTAGACTGGCCTTGTGGCTCCTCTTCCAGTGGCCGGACTAGTAGTGCCGCCCTGGTTTGCTCCCATCTTGTTTGTACTCTTGCTGACTGGTCTTCGGACCCTGTCTCAGAGGTTGGACTGGTAGTGCCACCTTGAGCTGTGTGCTTCTTGCTCAACACTACCCCTTATCTAGCATAGGGGGTGTGTCAACTTATACATACATTTTCATATAGAAGTTCTAGGCTAGAATAGGTGTATGTCCTTAGAAAGTACAACACAACCCCATATCTTGCTTGTTCTCTCTTTCTATTCAATCTAGTATTCTAACATCTAGGACTAGAAGAGAAACCGTGCAACATCCCCTGAACTTCTCACAACTACCATGGGTGTCAGTTGACGCTAGAGTAGTTCACTTCACAGGCTGCACTACCTACCCAGTAGGAAAAGGTGGGAGCAGGAGGAAGCAGGCTACGTGCATAAAGAGGCTTGCTTGCTAAGAAGTTGGTTGTAACAACAAGGTGACAGGTTGACAGCCCTGTATTGCAGGTATCGGAAGTCTAGCCACTGGCATGCCTTACAGAAGTATCATGAGCACAGAACGTGAGTGCAGATGAGTGGAGATGGGTGGAGATGGGTGGATAAGGGTGCGCGTGTAAATGGGTGTAGACGGGTGTAGATGGGGGATATGTAAAGACGAGGGGAGATGGGGAAGATGAGGGGAGATGAAGAGAGGGTGGGGGAGGTGAGGAGAGATGAAGTGGGGTGAGGGGAGTTGACGGGAGATGAGGGGAGATGAGGAAGACGAAGTAAGATGCGGGGGATGGGGGGAGACGAGGATCGAAGGGGGAAGATGGGGGGAGAAGTGAAGGACGCCAGTGGTATGCGTGAAGTGAAGGACGTGTAAGAAAGAACCCGTGGCACAGGATGGAGAAGCATGCAAACGGAGCAGCACACCACGCAGCACGATAAGCACATTCCGCGCACTGGAGAGAGCATTCAACGCACGTTGGACACTTAGCAGCAGCAGCACACACTCGTCAGCGACGACGGCAACGGCAACGGCAACAGCAACGGCAACGGCAACAGCAACGGCAACGGCAACGGCAATGGCAACGGCAGCACCAGCACCTCGCGTTTTCCCTCATCCAGTCTCCTTTCCTCCATCCGTCAGTCCATCCCCGAGTCATCATCCGGCTGTCTCGCCGCCATGTCCTCGGCTCTCTGTGCATCCCCCACCTTCCTCCTCACCCTCCCCTTCACTTTCCTCCTCACCCTCCCCTTCACTTTTGAGTCGACTCAAAAGAAGAGCGCCCAGTCAGTCAATCCCCGAGTCATCATCGGACTGTCTCGCTGCCATGTCCTCGGATCTCCTCGCATCCCCCACTTTCCTCCTCACCCTCCCCTTCACTTTCCTCCTCTGCCCCTCCACACTATCCTCCTCGTCTGGAGAGTATCCCCCCACCTCCTCCCCTGCTACACTCGCCCCTCCCTCCCTCTCAGACCCCCCCTCTTCCCCCCCGCTGTGCCTCCCTGCACCTGCCCCCCCCCCCGCATTGGAACCAGTAACCTGCGCTCTACCCCCCACCCCCCCGCCTCCTCCTCCTCCTCCTCTTCCTCCTGCTCCTCCCCCTCCTCCCGCCCCTCCCCCTCTTGCTCCCTCTCCTCCACTTTCTTCTGAACCCCCTCCTCCCCCACCTCTCCCTCCCCCCGCCCCTCCTCTCCCCATAACCCCGGTTCCCCCGGGCCCCCTTCCCCCTGCGCCTGCCCCTGCTCCCCCTGCTGCACCCGCAACTGCCCCCCCCACTCCGCCCCCCTCCAGCCTTCCCTGTCTCGCTGCAGTGCCCCCGACGTTCCTTCCCGTGCTTCCCCCAGCATTCCTCCCTGCACTACCCCCTACAGACTTGGCTGCTGCTGCTGCTGCTGCTGCTCCTGCACCTGTCTCCGCGTCCGTTGCAGCAGCAGCAGCAGCAGCAGCAGCAGCAGCAGCAGCGGCGGCTTCCCCGGACCTGCTCTGCCAGTCCGGCGCCATCCAGAGCTCCCGGCGCGAGCTCGGAGCTCCGGGATAGTCGCTGTCCGAGCCTGAGGTGTAGGTTCGGTCGTCCGCAGCAAAGGCGGCGTCTCTCCAGGCGGCAGCGGAGAGCCCCCCTGGGCCGACGCTGCTATCTTCCCTACTATCCTCCTTACTGCCCTCCCTGCTGCCTACCGATGCTGTCCCATCCTCTGCCGCTGCCGACGAACTATCCCCATCGCCATGCCCATGCCCATGCCCATCCTTAACGCCATCTCCAACTCCAGCCGCCATTCCCACCAGAATTGCTGCTGGATTCTGGCCCATGGGGTTATGTACGGGCGGTGGTTGAACCCCCATGCCATGCGATGCGTTATGGAGCGAGAGAGAGGTGTTGGTACGCCCATTACTCCCAGCACTCACACATGCAGCAACACCGCTGCTGCCAGCAGCACCAGAAGCAGCAGCGGCAGCAGCGACAGCAGCAGCAGCAGCAGCGGCGCCACCGCCCGCTTCCCCGCCCGCCTGCGCCGCATGCGCGACCCCTTCCCCTGCGCCTACGTGGCGCCAGCGCGGGCTGCGGTTGGCGGGCGCGCGGAAACCGCCGTTCGCATGCGCCATTGCGCGCGTGTGTACTTGCGCTAGTGGCTGCACGGACGCGCGGGATTGCGCGTGCGAATGCCCGTGCCCGTGCGCGTGCCCCGCAACACCCGCCACTGTTGCGCCTGCCTCCACCTCAACCCCTACCCCATTCCCCACGGTTTCCGCCCCCCCTCCCGCACTCCCCCCGGCCCCTGCTCCGCCGTCCTCCCGCTCCTCCTCCGCAATCCGCCGCATTCCTACTCCTCCTGCTCCCGCGTTCCCCCCCTGCTCCCGGCGGGCCGCCATCCGCATCGAGCGCGTGCGCGAGGACCCGCCATGCCGCGCGGACGACGTCTGCGACGCATGCGACACTTGCGACGACTGTGACGACGATTGTGCGGATCCCGCGGAGGCTGCCTCGCCGCCCGCAGCTACGGCCGCTATAGCCGCTGCCGCCGCGGATTCCGCGTCCAGGCGTCCGCCGCGCCCGCTGGGCCCCGCGGCGGCGGGGAAGCTTGCGCCGCCTGCGCCGCGCTTGTAGTGCGCGGACGCAAAGTGTCCCCCGCGCTTCCCCCAGGGGCCCGCTCCCGCCTTCACGTCCGCCTCGTCGGATGCGAAGCCGTCGGAGTAGGAGTAGGAGTGGGAGTGGCCCATCCGGGCGGACGACGAACACGGCGACGCGGGCTCCGAGTCGCCATCGTCGTCGTCGTCGTTGCCATGGTGTGCGACGTGGTGTGCGACGTCGCCCGTTACATCTCTCGCAGGACTACCCTCTCCTCCTCCGTTCGTCGCTTTCTCCTTGTCGTTGATTCCGTTGACCGCCATGGGTTCCGAGAGACCGTGGTTGGGGGGGGAGCTGCTACCCCGCGAGCTGATGGCGAGTCCTGCGACAGCGGTGGCGACGGTAGTCGTCACCAGCGCGTCGTCAACGCTCTGCGACTCCGTGCTCGACGACATGTCCGGTAAATGGTCACCTCGCGGACGGATGGGCACGGGACGGTAGAGAGATGGGAAAGATGAAGGGGAGGCGACGACGAGGTGGAAACAGGCTTGCTAGGTCGAAGTCGTTTCAAGGCGCCTCAAAAATCGGTGGAGAGATGGAGAAGATGAAGGGGAGACGACGACAAGGTGGAAAAACAGGTCTGCTAGGTCGGAGGACAATGGGACACTGGGCTGGAGTAGCGGTTTGAATGGATACGCTCGAAACGTTTGACGGGGGTGGTTTCTTCACGGGTTCGCGGTTTAAACTGATGGGCTTGCTCTCACATAAGGAAAGATTCCGAGCGACGCGAAGGCTCTGAGTCTAGAGAGGGCGACGAACTACTGCATCGCTAGAGAAAAGCACACTCTAGAGGACACGATCGAGTAGAGGGTTGGTATGGTATGGTATGGTATGCCCACTTCCCAGTCAACATAGAGTACAAGATACCTCTCTGGGAGAAAGCGATATCAGTGAATTCCCACAGAAAGCACAGAGCAGAACCACAGAAAGTGCAGGCAGAGTTCAGGACATTTCCCCCAGGGTTAGAGGGTCAGGGTGGGAATTTGGAAAACCCTGGGAATATCTTTCCAGTACTGGCAGACTTCAGGAATTTTTTCCTGCCAGGGTTTCAGTTCAACACAAAAGTCGGCTTGCCGAGGAAAATGCGACACTGAAGGATGTAAGGATTCGTACCATAACGGCTCTTTTTCCCACCCTCGAATTCCTGAAGCCCCTTCTGGGTCAAACCAGAGAGGCAGATCCAGTTTAGTGTGGTGGTGACCAGGTGAAAATACTGAGATACAGTGTCGGGTGTCTACGAGGATTATAAGTGCCACAAAACCCCGGAAACTGGAGTTACCCTATCCAGAATCAATCGTTGAGTCTGGGAAGTAAGAGTTCAGCGAACTTTTGAGGAGTGGAAAGCACGTCAGTGGAAGCGCGGATTCTCACCACTCCGTCCAGATTCCTTCGGCCCGTGGGCAGAATTTGGTAGGTCCTGCACTTTCCTCTCTCGATGAGAAACCACCACTCTCAAACCGCCATGTGGCATCAAAGCCATGTCCAGCAACATACTTGGACAGGTCAGCAACATCACCCAAATTTATGCAGCTTTCATACAAACCAACAAATCTCAATGTAAGTTGTGTGTAGAAAAATGGAGAATACAATAAACAGAACATGCCTCTTTTGAGCCATGTACACTGTATAAGACGAAATTCGCCCAACCCCAGGAACAGTCTACTCCTCCCACCCACAAACCCCGAACCCACTCCTTGTTCCCACATCCTCATACAGTAAATCAGCGTCATTTTCGGTCTTCTATGAAGGCTTTCCGACTGAGTTCACGCCTAGACAGGACATGAGATGCTGCGTCTAGCGTGGCGCGGCGCAACAGGGGATGCAGCAGGTTCCGGCAAGCTCGCAGCAGCAGCAGCAGGAGTCGCGCGTCGATCGCAATTTCGGCCCTTTACATCCACCGTTCCGCCTCGCACCGTGATACCTTCCGCGTCGCGCGCCGTGTTGCCTTCCGCATCTCTCGCCGTAATATCTGGACGCGTTGGTACGCGTCGACCTTGCTTCAGAGAGTTGCCAAGCCTAGGAAACGCCACCGGCCCCAGTGTGTTCGCGGCGCGCTTCGTTGAATCCCAGAGCCTTCGCTTTCTTCCCGCCACTATGAACTCGTCTCGAGCTCCGTTGTGTGCTAATTACCCTCTGATTAATTACCCTTGGGTTAATTTCCCTCGGGTTAATTACCCTCGGGCGTATCTTCTGCCTCCGCTCCACACTCAACCCTCGCTACTGTCACCCTCTCTTGACACCTCTCTTCGTGGCGTCGGCAGCTATCCTCCTCTTGTGTCACCTCTGCTGTCGCGGATGCACACGGGAGGGGCCCGGGCGGAGCGCGGGGGGGAATCGCGGGGATGGGGGGAAGATCGGCGGAGAGGTCGGGGGGAAGACAGGCGCGGATGGCGGGAGGGTCGAAACTCCCCGCGACAGGGGGAACGCGCGTGGGGTGACGATCCGCGGAGGGAGCAGCCTAGGCGCGGAAGGGCCGAGGGCGTCAGACGAGCACCTCCGCCCTATAGCGAGGAACCGAAGCGGCCTGTATCGGAGATGGATCTTGACGAGCGCGGCGGCGCGCGCGGCAGCCACTCGTTCTTCGCCACGTGTGCGCCGGGGCTGGAGGAGGTGGTGGCGGAGGAGCTCCAGTCGCGGCTGATCGGCGCGTGGGACGTGGTGCCAGGAAAAGCGGGCGTGGCGTTCCAAGGGTCGACGGAAACGGCGTACAGGTGAGTGAGGGGTCCAGGGGGACAGGGTTTTGGGGGGCGGGTTGGGCGTAGCGCGGGGATGGGGTTCGGGGACAGGGTTTCTGGTGCACGTTTTGAGCACAGGGTTTTGTGATGTACGGGTTGGGGTTTCAGGGTTTTCTTCTCCATCTTCTCCCTCACTCCATCCTCCCCTCCCCATCCTCCCCTCACCCCATCTTTTCTTCTCCCCCCTTCCCCCACTCCAACTCACTAGCTCCTCCATCCTTCATGCGCATACCTCTCCCCCTCTCCCCTCCCCTCCCCTCCCCTCCCCTCCCCCCTCTGCTCACATCGCCCCAGGGCGAATCTCTGGCTGCGCTGCGCCGTGCGCGTGCTGCACCAGGTGGCGGCGTGCGATTTGCCGGCTCGCTACGGCCGCGCGGACGGGGACGCGCTCTACCGCTTCGTGCGCGGGGCTGCTGATTGGCCGAGCCTCATTGCAGGCCCAGGGGAGAGGGGGGACTCCTGGGGAGGGGGGAGGAGAGGGGGGGGGGGACAGGAGGGGGGAACATCCCGTGGCGCAAGCCGGTGACGTTTTCAGTGCAGAGCCGCGTGTGGGACTGCCCTGACATCCGCACGTCTCAGCTCGCCTCCACGCGCGCCAAGGACGCCATCTGCGACGCCATGAGGGACGCTTATAACGGGTACAAGCCCCCAGACCCGAAAAACTGGTCTGTGGGAGGCGGAGGAGGGGGAGGGGGGGCCATGGGGGAATGGGAAGGGAGGAGCGCCGGGCGCATGGGCAGAACTAGTGCAGAATCAGGCAAATATGGCGAGTCGGGGGAGTCGAGGGAGTCTCGAGAGTCTCGAGAATCCCTAGCAGAGCTTCCGTTGTTCCTGTCCTTGTACCGAGACAGGGCAGTCTTATTCCGGGACATGAGTGGGCGCAGTCTGCACAAGAGGGGGTACCGGGACGCGATGCACAAGGCGAGCTTGAATGAGGGCGTGGCGGCTGGCATGCTCATGCTCGCCGGATGGCAGCAGGTGGCGTGGATCGGCGAGGGCGAAGGGGCGAGGGGGGACGGGAGGAGGGGTGGGGAGGAGGAGGGAGAGGAGAGGGGAGAGGGGAGGCGAGAAGGGAACGGGCTAAGGAAAGGGGAGGGGGAACGTGGGAGAAAGAGAGGGGAGCGGGAGGGTGTGGAGATGGAGGAAGATACACACACTGCTATAGCACAGGGGTCATCAGCGGCAGCAGCAGCAGCAGCAGCAGCATCAGCATCAGCAGCAGCACCACCACCACCACCCCTGTCCATCTCCCTGGTCGACCCCATGTGTGGCAGTGGCACTCTCCTCATAGAGGCTGCCCTCATGGCCTGCCGCATCGCCCCCGGTTCTTTCCGCTCCTCCCCTTACCCCTCCCCCTCCCTCTCCTCCTCCTCCTCTTCCTCTTCCTTCGCCTGGCCCTTCCACACCTGGCACGACTTCGACCCCGCCACGTGGCGCGCCGTGATTCGCGAGGCCGATTCCCTGCGCCGCACGCCCCCCTCGGGAGTGTCGTTCCACGGCAACGACATTCACGAGGGCGCCCTGGCGCTCTGCCGCAAGGACGCCCAGAGGGCGGGCGTGGCCCGGTGGATCAGCCTGAGCCAGGGGGACTGCGAGGAGTACGTGCCAGCTGTCGCGCCATCGTTGGTCGTGGTAAACCCGCCGTGGGGCACGCGACTGGGGGAGACCAGGTGAGAGCGTATGGGTGGGTGGGATTGTGGGTGAGAGGGTGTGTGTGTGTGTGTGTGTGTGTGTTTTGGGGGGGGGGCGGGTGGTGTGTGTGTGTGTGTGGGGGGGGTGGGTGTGTGTCTGTCATTACCATCTCCCTTCCCCTCATTGGAGCTCATTTTGTTCAGCTGTTCTGAAAATCCTTCAATCCATTCCCTTTCCCCCTACTTTTGCTATCCCCTCTTCTCTTCCTCCCCCCCCCTCTCGGTCCCTCTCGACCCTCTACCCCTTGAACGAACCTTCGGCCTTTCTCCTATGCCCTCCTCCACCCTGTGTCCACCTCGTGATAGAGTCTAGTTTTGGGGCGCCTCAAAACTACTCTCCCCCTCGTACAATCCTTCACCCTTGCCTCATGTGCCCTGTGCCCACCCTTTTCCCCCTTACCCAGCGGCGAGGAGGGCCAATGGCTGGCTGACATGTGGCACCGCCTGGGCCTGTTCCTGCGGCGGCAGTGCAGGGGCGCGGAGGCCTTTGTGCTGAGCGGCAACGCTGCCGTAACGCAGAAGCTGTTCCTCAAGATGTCCCAGAGATGGCCCATCACGGTCGGGGGGATCGAGTGCCGCGTTCTGCGGTATGTCATGCTGCCTGCAGCACCAGCAGCAGCCGCAGCAGCAGCAGCAACAACACAAGAGACAGCAGCGCAGCTAGAGCGAGGAGAGGCAGTGGAGGTTGAGAGATGAGGAGGTGGAGTGGAGCGGGAACAGGGATTTTGAACTTGCACACAAGACCGGGGAGGGACCCCAGAGGAAGGTGGACGGAGCGGCAGGTGATGCTGTGTGGTGTGGGGTGGAGTGGAGCAAGTTACGTATTACCAGGAACTTGAGAGAGCAATGTAGTGTGGAACTGGTAATGAGGAGCATGGAATATAGCATACGGTATAAGGTCTATTTTCTGATTGTGTACGAGGCTCCGATAAATAAGAGAAATTCCGTTAAATGTGGATGGAAGTGCCATCATTTGCTTCTAGAGTAGAAAGGAAGTAGGGCTCTGCTAAGATTTTCCTAACTGCCTTATTCTTGCCCGTATGCTCTGTTACAGAGGCTTCTCGCACCTCATGATTTTGACGGTTACCTGATGTCGCCGTCATTTCGCACACGGCACACCGTTGTCAAACATATAGCTATATGCTATTGTATGCTAGATAGGTGCGTACTCTTAGAGAGTACAACCTCTCAGCACAAATCCACACTGTATCACTCATTCTAGTAAATTCGTTACTCCGAGATGGTATCATGCGCTAGGTTAGGTCCTCCCCGCCCACCAGCGCTTCCGCTCTAGTCCTAGTCCTAGCCTAGCTGCCCGTCGCTAGCCGCCCGTTCCTAGCCGCCCGTCGCTAGCCGCCTCTGCTAGCCGCTCCCCACTCAGCACCGCCGGCCGCCCGTCGCCTTGTGCCGCCCTTAGCCGCCAGCCGCCCGTCGCCGTCGGCCGCACGTAGCCCCGTGCCCATCGGCCCTAGCTCGCCGGCCCCCTGCTAGCTCGCTGGCCTAGCGCGTCGGCCCCTGCTCGTCGGCCCCTAGATCCCCGGCCCCTACTCGCTGGCCCCTTGCTCGCCAGCCCTGCGCCCGCTGGCCCCGAGTTCGATGGCCCCTCGCTCGCTAGCCCCGCGCCCGCCAGCCCCGCGCTCGCTGGCCCCGCGCTCGCCGGCCCCGCGCTCGCCAGCCCCGCGCTTGCTGGCCCCACGCTCGTCGGCCCCTAGCTCGCCGGCCCCTTGCTCGCTGGCCCACAGCTCCGCCGGCCCTAGTTTTGCCGACCCAGCTCCGCCGGTCCCAGCATGCGCCGGCAGCGCGCCGCCGAGCCGTCGTGCCGCCGAGCCGCCGCGCTGCCGAGCTGCAGTGCCGCCGTGATGCCGTGTTGCTGAGCCGCCGAGCCGCTCTGCCACCCCGATCTGCCGACCTTGGCTCCCCTCTGAGCCGGCACTCCCGCCAGCTATCTCCACCGCTCTCCACCGCAATCCACCGCTCTCCACTGCTCTCCACCACCCTCCGCCACTTTCCTCCCCCTCCAGCGGCAGTCAACTGCTGACAACTGAAAGATCAGCGCCACGACGGCTACTCCCTGGGCGTCAATGTCGACGGAAAGCTCCGCTGCCCCGCCGCGCCTGCTCTCCTCCCTGACGCCCCCACGTTTGCTGAGCGTGAGGCCTTTGCCGCTGCTGAGATTGCCCAAGCTGTTTGGGAGTCGCGCGACGCAGTCGCACAGCTTGCTATTAGCCACGCTCCCCCCTTGTTTGAGCGTCCCCGCTTCACCGTTGTAGCAAATGCGAAGGAATACTTAGATGCGGTCATTTCGCGATATTCCACTCCCTCCTCCACCTTTGCCGGCCGCCTGATCCTCCTCATGCTATTCCCTGATCTTGCTTCCTTCCCCACTGTCGCTGAGCATGCCACTCATCTCCGCGCACTTGAGAATAGCTACGGCGCTGCTAGCACCGAGGCACAGCTCACTGCATTCCCGCCGCCGCTTTGCGCTACCCTTTACCTCATTGCCACACGCCTCCCTGACCGCCTTGCCACTGCTCGCGACCACTTCCTTAGTCAGCACCCTAGTGACCTCACCCTTACCGTCTTCGTCACCGCCTTGTCCGCGATAGAGACCCACCAGCGCACTATCGCTCAGTCTAGCGGTACTGCGGCGGTCCCTACCTTCCAGGGCTGTGCTCCCTCCTAGTGCACTTACTCTGGCATTTCTGCCGCTGTCGCTGAGACAGCCCTTGCTGTTGAGACCACCACCGCGGCCTCAGCGCAGCCACGTCAGGGTAAGGGCCGCCGCACCAAGGGGGAGCGTGGCGGAGGGAAGCGTGGCAGGGGTGGCGGAGGTGGTGGCAAGGACGGTGGTGCAGACGAGGGGACCGGGGCTGATGCCCCGGAGCAGCAGCAGCAGCCGTGGGGACCCCCGCCGCCGTGGTGGCCTGGCGGCGCTGGTGGTGGTGGTCATGGTGGTCGGCCGCGCAGCTCGGTGTCGGGTGGTGGCTCCAGTGTGGTCACCTGCCAGTACCAGCTTTAGTCCGGCCCCAGCTACGGCCCCGTCTGCGGCTGTCCCGGTCGCACCGCCGCCCGCTGCTACCGCCACCTCGACGACCTCTTCCGTCTCCGCTTCGGCCCCACGTCCGCCCCCCTCGACTGGTATAGCCTAGTGCGTCGCCGTGGGTCTTTCTTTGAGCTGGATATGGATCAGATTAGGTGTTCTATGTATGTCATGTATGCAGATGACTCTAGTGTAACTGGACCCTATTACCTTTATTGTCTAGTGCAGGTGTGTCCACTGTGTGTAGCCTAGGTTCCCCTACTGCGTCAGGTGTAGGACCACCTGCCTTGTTTAACCTCGGCTCCACTCTAGCTCCTCCACCTACAGAAACCGTTGTGCTCTCTTTCACGCTAGACCAGGGTGCGTCCGCCTGCTTCTTTCACTACCACAGTTGCCTCATGCTGCTGTAGCGCTTGCTGACCCCTCCTCAGGTCTGGTAGTTGTACGTAGCTCCTCTACCCTCCCCTTTCCGGTGGTTCCCTCGAGCTCTTTTAAAGGCCTGCACATCCTCTCGTTCTCCAGGAACCTAGTTGGTGTCGGCTTTCTTCAGGACCTCGGCGTCACCACTACGTTCCCCGGACTCGAGCGGTACGCGGTCTGTACTGAGGCAGCCCCTTCTTCCCCACTTACTACGCTCCCCCGGGACCCGGTGTCTGGTCTGTTTACACTTGACACCGCGTCCCTTCTGGTGGGGACGTCCCTTCAGGTGCCTGCGTCTACCCAGGTCGCTACGGCCTCCTCGTGTTGGTCGCTCAATCACCCGTCGCTGCTGTTGCACCACCGCTTAGGTCACCCTGCACTCCCCCGTCTGCGTCACATGTCCCAGCACGGTCTTTTCTTAGGTCTCCCTTCGTTGCCTCCAGACTGCGTTTTCCACGGCTCTGCGAAACCCTCGGCTTGCGGCCTGAGCAGCTTTTTAACATTGACGTTGAGCTATGCTGCACAAACGCACTTTCTCCGAGAATCCCGTTCCCGGGAAGAAGGTGGCGAAGAATCGCCTCACCGTCACTCTGCTCATGAACACTATGGGCTCAATGATATACAAGCCCTCCATCATCCACCGTTACGAGCATCCGCGCAGCTTTGCACGTGAGAAACTTCAACCCTGTAATGTAGTGCGCGAGGCGCACCAACGCAAAGGGCTGGATGACCGCTGACGTAAGTGCGCGTGCATTGCAGTTTTCTATCGTTGCTGTATGTGACCCGTGCCGTGCAGCTGCACGTCCCATGTATCCGACGGTGCCATGTTCGTGTCTCTCCCCCTCCTCCCCCCCCGGCCATCAGGTGTTCACCGCGTACTTCGAGTCTGTCAATGCCTGTTGCATGGCCGAGGAGAGGCACATTGTCGTGATGGTCGACAATGCGTCCAGCCACACCCTCAAATCCCCGCATGCAACTACGGCCGACATTTGCGGCTTCCGCAACCGCGCGCTGTCCAACATGCGGCTCGTCTATTTGCCGCCGAACATGACGCCCTTCACACAACCACTCGACTAAGGGATTATGGCGGCTCATAAAGCCAAGTACAAGACCTCGCTGCTGGGCCGCGTCCTCGTTGAATGGTCGACGCCGGGCATGACTATCGACGAGCTCATGAAGTTCCGTTCCGACATGACACGCGTTGTTGAATACATTTCCTACGCCATGATCGGGGTGGACACAAGCACAGGAAGCCAAGCCAGAAATGCTTCTGGCGCATGGAGATGCTGCAGCCAAGCCAGAAGCCACTGCTTGACCAGCTCGGCGACCCGTACTCCGAGACCGTCCACCTGCTCGACCAGGAGTTCAGAGATGTGCAGCGCGCGATGGACGACTTGCCCTTCGGTTCCCCCGGCGACATCGATAGCGCCTTCGGCTTCGTCTACGCCGACCACCACAAAGAAATGGGCGATCCAAGCAGCGACGACCCTCTGGCGCAGGAGCCCTAAACTCCACCTGTGCACGACGCGTGGTGGTCCACTCCCCCCCCCCCCCCCCCCCCGGCCCCCCTCCGGCAATACTGTGCGGGCCCGTCGCGGTATGGCCCGCATGGCTACGGAGATGCTAATCGGGTACGCGCGGAGCCTAGTGCTGGCTCCGTGCGACCTGCGCATTTAATTCGACATTCAAGACCCTTTGGTCTGTGAGCGATTGGAGCGAGCGCCACCGCCGCTCGACACGGCCTCCACTCGCGCGATCGTAGATGAGGCGTACTATGAGCAAGTGCTCCAAGCCACTGCTGCGATGACCAGCTTCCCCGACTCTGGGGAGTGGATGATGTTTGGCGGCTCCCACGTCGTGTGAGAGGCACCATCGTTTGCGGGGTGGTTGATAATTGCCGACTCATGAAGGAGGGATCTAAGTTCATGTGCAGGAATCACGGTCGACTGCTCATCAACGTGCGCTGAGAGTTGCGATGTGCCTTGTGTGTGCGTAGAGTTTAGTTATTGCTGTTCTTCGTTATATGTAGCTTAGCGATTTGTGTATGTGGTTTGTTCAACCCACTATTTGTTTATCTGTTTAAGCTTGTCGTTTGTCAAATTTGCCTTTAAACGATAAGTCTGTTGCGAGTGCTGAAACATGTGGAGTTAGTTATGTTGCAACAACCCATTTAGAGAGCGGGGTTGAAACCGAGTGACGACACACCTTGCGACCACTGGGCGACGTGCCTACGTGGACGCTGTCGCAGCAAACGACAGCGTCCCAGCCCCTACCAGCAGTGCATAGGACAGAGCTCCTACCTTCTTGGAAACGCTACACGCAATTTTGTCCGGGGCATACCGCCCTATTCGCTATGTATCAGAATGAATAAGTGAACTAGAATGTGTGAATACAAGGGTATATAGACTAGGGTGTTGTACCCTCTAAGGCACAATCAAGTATAGTCTACAGTAACGACCTAAGTTACATTTGACACACCCCCTAGACTATACAG